TTTTAATTAATTTGGAACTATTAAACTAACAAAATTCATCAGCGAAGGACTGATGGCATAAATCATCCGTACTGGTCTGTTGAGATATTGGAAGTATATTTTATGTTTGGGAGAATGTTGTTTTCAGGTTGGAGATGGACGTGGAAGGATCATCTCGAATATTTTGATTGAAGGCTATTTGTTTCTTATGTTAATTTTGATGTTGAAACGGTGGGAAGCCAGTGCCGTAACTGGAAATGATGTTTGGATGGATCGATATTTGAGTTTTTCACATTAAGTAGTTATTTCTTGACATTATATATTTTTGATATGCCTTGCATGAATTGTATGATTGTTTAAAGGTACTCGGCTAGGGTGAGCTACATCTATTACGCTCTGGTCTGTTGCGCTATGTATTTATTGTACCTACATCTATACTTGGATATACACTCCAAGAACGAAAGCATAAGATGCCAATTGAATTCAGTTCGTGACTTTTGATTAAAATACAGTTTTTCTGCAAGGAGATTATTTGGATGATTTTTGGCATGGGGATCAATATGTCCATCCACATTGGCCAGATGGACCAATAATTTTTCTCAGCCAAATGTTGGATTGGTCCCTGATCTCTGTTGTCTCACAGTTGCGTTAATAGTGTGGCACCGTTCCTGGGGGTCACCTCTTTATAACTAAATAATTATGTGAAATTTGATGTACCAACTAAGTTGAGATGTCTATAGCCTCATCCACCTCACGAAGTTTCAGTATTCGATCGTCGAAGATTATCCCATTTATTTTATCGACGATTTCTTGCTTAGCCGCCTCTTTGGGCAATCTGATCTTCCAGCGTCATTTGTGCAGATATGGCCACAATGGAACTCCGTAATCTACTTCGAATCCATTGAAATTTTTATAGGTAGACTGGCAATAATATATCAACCCTTTCTTTGGTTTCCGTCTGTTTTGTATGAAAGTCAACAGGTAGAATCAAGTCATGAAACGTATCTTTTTCCATTTTAGTTGAAATGTAATATGTTTGTTGCTTTCAAAAGCAGCCTTGATGCATTTGAGGAGTTCAATGTCCATTTTCAGCATGACTCAGAGCATATCTCAATTTGATATTTTGCTTGTGCTAATAGTATCTATGTTATTTGTTTCATAAAAATTATTTAGAAGCTAGCATCATTCTCATCAGTTATGAAATCACATATCAAACTGAATATTCCAATGGCCTTCGAGGATAGGTCCTATATACATCCGTACATCCCATTTCGATTTTTATTTTCTTCCAGTTCTCCCCATGTAGCTGTATTTCAACGTTGACAATCGTCTACGTCGCATGGCAATGACGTAGGCGTCGCGATACAATCGTCTCTCGGGTCCGCCATTTTGCCTGGTGCCACAGACACACAGAACGATCGATGTTCCTCTGGGGGAGCGCTCGAGGATTCTCCGACACTAACGTGTGACAGACTGGCGGCTAAAGAACAGGATAGGGCGCAGGATGAAGGAGCATTTATTTCAAAAGACAGTTTGCAGAGAAGCAGGTTACTATGCTTACACACATCTCATTGCCAATCAAGAGTTATTGTTGCTCGCAGTTTCTAACTTTACTTCATCTGCAAACGGTGGTCCAGACTGGAGATCTTTCAGATATCACCTGCAGTATCTAGTGAAAAAATCATTAAACAATCTACTAAATGAGATTTGTCGTTCGAGGTGTAAGACTGAGCTTGGTCTACTAAACTTTTGTTGATGGATTACAAGAAGCACTAATTATGTTTATTTTCGAAAACAATGATCAATATCATAGGTTTCTGTTCAAAAAGACAGAAAGTATAGACAGTAAGTTCAGTAAAAAGAAAAGTATTTGGCGAAACCGCGAATTAATCGGAAGAGGACACCTATAAACAAGTTCATCATTTATTTAACTGGTTTTAATCATTAATACAACAATATTTAAAATTTTCTCATAATTTAATATAAAATACGCATGACGACGTTTCGAATTACTACTTCTTTATCAAATGCTGGATTAATACTATGTGTAATCTTACAAAGTCATTACTTATAGCTATTTTCACAGAACATACCAGGTATATTCTATGACTAACTTGGAGTGGGGACCATAGAATACACTGATATTCAACAAAAGGATCGTATACCTGGAGATGAACACAGAAAATAAATTTCTTAAGTCAGGTATTCCAACGAAATGTAGGAAATATACAAATATACAACTAAGATTTCTAAATACAAAGTAATTTGTATATTTCCTACATTTCGTTGGAATACCTGACTTAAGAAATTGATTTTCTGTGTTCATCTCCAGGTATACGATCCTTTTGTTAAATATCAGTGTATACTATGGTCCCCACTCCAAGTTAGTCATAGAACATACCTGGTATGTTCTGTGAAAATAAACATAAGTTCTGAATTTGTAAGATTACACATAGTATTAATCCAGCATTTGTTAGAAGTAGTACTTCGAAACGTCGTCATGCGTATTTTATATTAAATTATGAGAAAATTTTAAATATTGTTGTATTATGGATATTAATTTTCCACAAGTATCGGCCTCATCAATTATCAATTAATCATTATTCTCAAAAACCCAATTTTTAAGATTTGCAGGATGAATTAAATTTTGACACAAACATTTTGTTGCCTCAAAAAATTGTTACTTCCTGAAATATTTTCTGCTAATACGGCACTATTGAGAAAATTCACGAAGAACGTTTAAAAAAGTCTAATATTTACAATTTATACTTGCCCCCTTATTAACAGCGTACGTCCTGACGTCATAGAAGGGGGCGAATCCAAAAATTGGCTCGAAACAAAAAGTTTTCTACGTTCAAATTTCATAAAAAATATTGTATTCAGAGTTTTCTTATTCAAAGACTTTATATATTTTCTTTTGGAACCTGTGATTTAAACAAAACGTTTTCAAGCCGAATCATTCAATTAAATTAACTCAAATTTGGTAAAATGGATATGATTCGCCCAAACGGCAGACTGATTGAACAAAATACGCAAATTGAAGTTTTTTTTTCATCAACAAAAATGAGAAAACACTAAATTAACATGTTTTGTGGGGTTTTACACTAATAAACTCATTTGTTTGGAATCAGTATGACGTCAGACTTAAGTGGTCCATTATGAGGTAAAATTCTCATTATTCACACAAAATTCACAGTGAGTTGCGCTACTGATTATTTTTTCTGAAGTAATAATTCCTGAACGGATTTTGCAAACTTCCCTATAATCATTTTAGGTACCATCGTCACAAAAAATTTATAGCGGTTTGCTATATTATTCTATGCGTGGAAATATTAAACGACACTTGTATTGAGAATGTATATTTATGATTATTTACAAGGAACGAACTACTGAACATGTGGTTGTTGTTTTTACTCGATGGAGGGGAAAGTGACAGATTGTTGAACATAGAAATGACAGTCAGAGAAGAGCTCTGAGAGAAGAGAGAGATTGTTTGTTGGAAGTTCTTTTTATATGTTGCCAATTGATGGTGGGGCATCCCAATGTGATCACCGAATACTGATACTATTCTGTGATATGTTTTCTTCCATTGAATGACCATGACAATATCTTTACAAATTCATACTTTAACCTCCAAAAGGCCCAAAGTCTGAAGATGATATTTGAATATCTAACACGTCTTTTGATTTTATTTTTTGCTTTCGATGCAGAACGAAATAAGAAGCACCTCTATTTTTATAACTAATATAAACCATTATAGTTTCGGCAGTTCATTCTACTCGAGGAAGTTGACATAATCCTCCGATTTTTTCATTTATTTATTGAAATTTAATGCTATCGCTTTGATTCGACGTTTTAATACGATCCTCGATCATTTGTCTTCGGAGTATTTATACGGATCTTATAATTACAGGAATCCTATCTATTTGTCCCCTTGTTTTGCTTTCCCGAGCGTCGTTCATTTGTTCTGTCGCGGTGAATCGGGAAAACAAATTACGAGCGACGTCGCCGCCTACGATTTGGGGAGGATTAAATTAAATCCGTGTTGAACTTGATCCTGTTTTGTTCACGCAGTGAAGGAATGCTGTGAAATCAAATGGACTTGCCCAGAATTTTTAGATTTTAATATATGGGTATCCATGAATACACAAACACATACACACAGATATATATATATATATATATATATATTTTTTTTATTCAAATGAACATAGATAACACAGTTAACAACAAAACGGATATAAAGTGTCTAAGTTCAATATATACCCCATTATTATAATACTAAAGGCACATGCGCACCGCTACATATCGCATAGCTCAAACCTTCCTTTTCCAACAGTGATGTGAAAACTACCGACGAATATTCTGGTGAGATACAATTTTTCTTTTATTCTTTTGTTTTGTTGCTTTTATAGTTTTGTATTTTATCCTGTGATGTTTCTTTCAACTTCATTCAAGTCTAATTGCCCCAGTCTCAATTTCAATCAGGTTTTTTGTCTCAAATTTTAGCTGAAGAAGATGGAAACTCCATTGAAACGTTCATTAAACCTTTAATTATTCAACGTTTAATTAGTCTAGTACACCTGCTATACCACAAACAAACATCTGTATGTAATACGACCGACAGGTAAAAAACGACGAATTTGAATATATATATATATATATATATATATATATATATATATATATATATATATATATATATATAACTAAAAAGTAGACACCAAGAAAATTCCAATTTCGAATCCCAGTCGAGTTCAAAACTTTTGAAATGTATTTTAATTCTCAATTTTCAGTATAAAAATATTAATACATTATTCATGTTCGCACGTGGTTAACACGAAAAAATTACCATACTATATTTATCATTGTTCCTTAAGGAAAAATTAATACATCTGGGAGGATGGGTAGGTCACTCACTTTCGCCGGCAAGTATCGAAGACGACAATCCGAGTGTCAAATAACTAGCTTGACGAATAAAAGAGTGTTAGATATGAATTGAAGTTGCATCTCAAAGTGTAGACCTCGGGAGCTTAGCGGTCCAAAGCAGCGGGGCGTAAATCTGAAGACCTGGGTTCGAATCCCAGTCGAGTTCAAAACTTTTGAAATGTAATTCTCAATTTTCACTATAAAAATATTGATACATAATGATACATACAAGTAGTAGGTATAATAATTAGTGTTAATTGCAAGTTGATCATCATGGATGATTAACATTAACGAAATGACTTACAAAATTGGAGTTGACGTGATTTGTTCGTTAGTTATAATGGTTGAATGAATTGAATCATTAAATTTTCCCAGTAAAATATATGTAAACGAATTAATTCAATAGTATTCTTCATGATATTGTTCAAGTATATAAAAATTTGATGAAATAAATACACATTTTGAAAAGTGGAAGATGACTTAAAGACCTTCTGCTCATTCAATATTTCATTAAATTTCTATATATATGAACAATATCGTTAACAATATTATTAAATTAATGCGTTCAAATATATTTTAGTAGGAAAATGTTATGATTTAATGGCTTTTAACCAGTAACTAATGAAAAAATCACATGAACTCCAATTTTTAAGTAATTTTTTCGTTAATTTTAATCATCCGTGATAATTAATTAGCAATTAACATTGCTATTGTTCATTTGACAGAGAAAGAATTCATCTGCTTTCTAAATCATTCTTCTTATCTAAACAGCCTTAAAAAAATCTTTCAAGAATTTTAACACATCCAAAATTTTCATTTGTACTTAAGATTCGTTAATAATTGAAGCTCTCAAATTTATGTGAGAAAAACCACAAAAGTACCTATGAATTCTTACATTTTGACTTTAATTTAGACGGTCGAGGATAAAATAAAAATGCTGTAACTCTGATTGACCTTTTTGGTCGATTCAGAGGAAAATTTTGGTTCAGCATTCGTTTGCAAGATGCCAACGATATTCAACCTTCATACATTATAGGAATAAATATTACTATTTAATTAATAAGTATATTAATTTAAAGATTTATATCCCCGAATAAAAATGAATTGCGTAATTTGTAGAATATTTTAAAATGTACGAAACAAAAGCAATATCCGTTTATAACACGAATCAATGCTATTATTTTATTTTGTATAATCTTGAATGTGTTTTTTATTAATTTCCCAAATCTGTCATTTTCAAAAAAAAATTTGAAAATTTAATTTGAAATTTAACATGAAATTTCATAAAACATATTATGTGCTTCTAAAAATAATTCGTGTACCTATTCATTCACCTAAGCAATTAACAAAAACATTCATAGTAAGATATTTCTAAATCTAGTCACTTCAAACATAATTTGTTACTTCAACTGAATGAAATATTGTGAGTCCTCTGTTGAATCATTTTCTCAACAACATTTCACTACCGATTAACCAGCGTTTATGCATGTTTTATGCCCTAACGAGTCAACAAGGCCTTTTACACACTCTCGAACCGCAAGAATAGGACTGCCCTAGGAATATTTTGTATTTTTGAATGAGACTTTCGTTTCCGCAACGAAAATTTCTCATAATGAAAGCATTATTCTCACCACATTCAAGTTGGCTATGCGAGAGGCTATTACTATTTTGCCGACCAGCTCAGGAAACACCCTCGACGATGTACACAGGCCAGGGAGGTACTTAGGACCGAATACACCTTCTATAAAGTAGTTATTTGGTTCTTGAATGATAAGAAACTCGAATCAAGTCAACTTTGCACTAAAAAGTTTATTTAGACTAGTGGTCCACGAACATCAAAAATAGTATGAGAAATCATAACAAAATAGAACAAAATGAATTTTCTATAAGTGTTCTAATAAAAAGATTAAAAAATAATCCTTTGCTCAACTCAATCACTATAATTATCAGCAACTAAAATACAACATGAATAATTTGAAAATAACTACATGATGTGTTTCATTCAATGAGAAAAACCCTGATAATAACTAATATTACCCTCAAAGAAATAGTGGTTCATAGCAAAACAAAGATTTTGTCAACTGGTTCCTCATCACTAACCACTGATTTAGACGAATTGTTTGGACCTCTTGACCTTCATCAAGACTATAACATTTCATTTACAAAAACATTCATTTAGAATATTCGCATGACGAGGAAACTCTGGGCGATGTTTTAGGGCCTTAGTAAGTGAAAAGTCTTGAAAATTGCTGCCTCGAACAGGTCTATTTTTATTCATTTGTTGAAAGAATGTGGTAATTCGTAGAGTCAGACCTCTCAAATTGGTCAAAAAAATCAAATACGTTCCTTTTTCGGTCATTTCACTACTTTCTCTCCAAATATGATCTATATTTGCAGATAATTTTATTTCAATATTTGTTTTCGACTAATTATAATACCAAATTTAGTTTATATGTGCCGATAATTATAATATTGAATTTTAGATATAATTCACAAAAAATTATCTCAATATTTATTTAATATTCGGATATAGATTCACTATTTCGGTTCTTTATAATTCGAAATAATGATTTCGTCATAAACATTAAGTTTCGATGCCAGCTTGAGTGCTTTATTTTGTTTTTCACTGTTTTTCTTCAAAATACAAAGTTAACAACCTTCTATGAAAGACTGAAAGGTCCCCAATTCTATTTCATTGATTTAGTCCCTATTATTTTTTTTATTTATTTAGCTCTTAGACTAGGTTTCAAGGATTCAATTGATATTATTCATTCAGATATTCAATTGGCGTTGTTAGCGTCAAACAGGACCTAATGAATGACTTTTCATTTTAATTAGATGTTTGTCTTACACGTAATTTGTTTGTATTTTATTCAAATAGTGTAATTAATACAACTCAATTTCTTACCGTTATATGTTGATGTTTCGTTTCTAAGGATCACGCTTGTTACTTGCAAATTGAATATTGAAATTATACGTGCATTCTAATTATGATAAAATAGTGTGAAAATATCTAATTGCATGAAGTAACCATAACAACTCATTTTCTTCTCAGTACATATTAAATGGATATATGTCTCATTATGTTAGGTTAGTACAACTACTTAGTTACATATTAATGTTGATTATTTCTTGGCATGCTAGATTTGTATCTAGTTTGATACTTCGAATTAATTTTCTTGAACTCTCATAACATTATCATCGAAGAAATGAATAATATAGAATATTATCCATTTTTTGCAAGTATAATTTATATTGAGTGTGAATTGATTAATATTTATAATATGGGTATAGAATATTTATAAATGCAAGAAAGATATCAACATCTAAAAATTCAAATTCGAGATATATTTTATGAATGTTATTAATCGACGTTGAATGGGTCTGTTAGATTTTTGTTGCTCTTTTTCAAATTTGTAGTTGATTAGATGACAGGCAAATGTCATTTTCGAAAGAAAACTCTTACACATTTTAAAAAGTCTTATTTTCAATTATAAAAAATTCCGATTGGCCAATAAAAACTGGGGATGCGTTTCAAGCTTCCTACCTGTCATCTGAGAGATGTTGTAAAGTTTGTACTTGACACATTTTAGATGAAAAATCGAAATAAATCTGACTTTGGTAAATACTTTTCAAGTTTGCACAACTTATACTTGGTTACACAATTCTGATACAAACCAACAAGCTCGAAACGCATGTCAACAGCGGTTCAGGGTAACAGGTAGTCTGTTGAATATTGTCACGAAATAATGCATAAAATTAACTACAGCAATATGTCTTAATATGAATTTTATTTAGAAAATTATTAAATTATGAAAACTCCTCGAATGAAATTAGAATTATCCTAAAAATATTCAATATATAGTCTGACCTTGATAGCCTAAAAATTTCAAGACAAAATCTGAAAAAAAGGAGAGAATAATAGAATATAAATAAACAAAAAAGTAGAACAAATTCTGTAATGCAAATTGAGCTTAGGAATCCTATGATTAAATTTGAAGAATTTTAAATGAATGACTTTTTTGTTGAACAAAAATAATGACTATTTGAAATGAAAGGTTAAACGAGTTTTTATAATATTGCGCCAGAAACAAAAGTAGGTTGAACATAAAATGTAGGCTGGAAAAGAACAAAAATCACCAAAGTAATAAAAAAAATTTGAAGCCCCAAAATAGAGGAATAATCAGGAGAAAATGTTGAATTATTTTTCAAGAGATAAAAATATCAAAACCTAAAAGAAATTGAAAATAAACAATGTAATAAATTGTTAAAAATGAGTATGTAAGCACTACAGGGGGCCATGGCCATTTTGCTGAAATATTGCCCACATTTCTACGACTATTTTGTATAATTCCTATAGATATAATAGCTACCCATGAATCATTGTAAAATATTCAACACATTAAAAGAAAATTGCATGTACCAATGTTTATGTAAGTATGTGAGGAATGGTAAGAGCTCTGCTTATTTTTGCTGACTTTGTGAGCCAATATTAAATGATTGAGTAAGATATACTTACGTAATACTTGATGGGCCTAAAATTAAAGAAAATTCAGCTAAAATTTTTCGGATATTTTCCAAAAATTCATAAATAAGAGAGACTCATTTCTGGAATATAGTGGTGTAATTATTCGCATAAATAAGGAAATTTAAGTATATTTATATGTTTATTGAAATATTAATTTTAAATTAGTTCTACTTTGATTGAATCAAGTACAGAACGTCTCAATTACTTTCAAGCTCGAGATCGAAAGATACCTACTTCTACATAATTCTGAAGACCCCTCTTATATGCAAGACCTCCGGTTAAAATTTGGCTACATCTTTCTCCTCGTGCTTTATTACCTGAAATGTGAATGGAAGCTGTGGTCGTCAGATTATCCCATCTTAGTACACTTAGAAACTTCCAAACAATCTTCAACTACCGTTCTCGAGTTTGCAATGCCTGTTTGTTGCTTTTTGCCTAAAGTCTCACAACCAACACGAATTATTTACACGGTGTGCATACACTTTTCACTCTGCTCTTGAGGATTAAATGGTATTATGTTGTACTTTCATTCAGAAAATCTCTCAAGAGTGATGTTTACTGTTATACTTGGCTTTTCATTCGAAACAGTTCACAGTTTTTTCAGGTATATTGTATTACAGTGCATCATTCTTTAGCGTA